GGTGCAATTTTGCGCCCCAGGCTATCAAGGTAGCGCTATGGTGCATACATCCGTTTGAAAGAGTGTAATAGAATATGGATAAGAAGTATTATAGTCGTTCACTTAACTGAATCAGGCTCGTCCGACCGCGCCCCGGCTAGGTGCTATTTGCCCGGGGCTATATTGGGACTGTCTTTTAACCCCCGGCAGCGCGTGGGGACGGGCACGCTCATTTCTTTATAAAGTATTAACAATGTATATATGAATCGATTCTTTATTTCAATTTACAATATTTGAAATGCAAAATAACTGCTAAAATTCAGTTTCAAACATTACTCTACAAATGCAAAAGTGTGAGACACGCTTTCTGAACACCCCTCCCTCTCATCACACATCATCACATTAATAGGAATCGAGTTTGTCGCCTTTTATAGACAACCCCATTTTTTAAAAAAAAATTAACTTAGACTCCGATTCAAACCTAAGATTTTGTATATCATTATTGAATATTTCTTCCAGCTAATCTTTTTTTTAAATCAGGATAGAATATACTGTAGTTTGTTTCTTAAAAGTTAATATATTCTTATCAAATAACATTGTAGTTAAATTAATTAGATGTACATTTTTTTTTTAAAGGTACAATTTAATGATATTTATAGATTTAATTAAAAGATAAGATTAATTGTAATATGGTTGGGCATACATTAACTTAATGTATTCATGATGTATACTAGTAATATGGTTTTGGTGTTAGTTCTTGTTTAAAATATTGTTATGAGAAAAGCTTAAAAGCTTGTAAAGTTATTATTATTTTGAACAAAATTTTTAAAAAAATTTTAATCCTGAAAATAATTCCCATGATTGGCACTAAAAATAAGTGCCCGGCTTTCACTAAGGATAACTGTTATGTAGAAATCAGCAGTCCAAAGTACCCAAACAATTATTTCTCATCATCAACTTAAAACATATCATAACACTTGTGACCTACTTAGGTCTTATTTTTTTATTATTTAGTTTTTCATTTATGTAATCGACCTTGGGTGATCTGTGGTGCAATCACCAGTATTTTTCCGTCACGTTGTGTGGTGAAATTTTGCAATAAATTTTAGTAGAGTCCTTGCAAACACGTGACCTAAATCACGTGATACCTACGTCCGCCGCCACGGTGGTGTACACCAGACGTAAACACAATCAGCTGTTCACCAGTGCTGGATGCGTTCACTGTATGTAAAGAACCGCACCCGTGGAAAAGGAAAAATACGTTAAAAAACTTGAACTCTTAGGAATTGAAGATCCTTATACTGTTATTGACAGTTTCGTGGATAATATAAATATGTGGCCGAAATTTCTAAATAAAAATAATGTTAGTAATACTGTTTGCGTTTAGAGTTTAAGTAGACGAATCTGATCAAATTCAGTAATATATTATAGGTTATCTAGATCTAGTTAATGTAGATTCTAGATTCTCTGTTAAGTACAAGATTTAGTAGCAATAGATCTAGACAACCACACTACTGTAGCAAACGTGAGACCACTTAACTCCTACAAAACCCACACTACAACGGCTAATATAATTCATGGGTAATAACCACTGCTGTTCTTAGATCTCAGCCAATCTGGGTAGCATGTTATACAATTTAAGACCCTTATAATCCAGCACGGAAGTGATCAGACTCATTAATACTGATGTTCAACCCTCATGATGGCCAGCCCACACACTTTCTAGCCCACAATAAAACCAAAGAGGAGTCAGTACCACTGCCCTCCCCTGAAAATTTCTCACCTCCGTGATACCCTCAGGGCCCAACAGGGAGAACAAAGTGGAAAGTCCCACTGCTCTCCCCTCAACATTTCTCACCTCGATGTCATGTTATGTCATTTATAGCACACAGAGCTTATCAGGGGAAAGCATTAAGGCATTAAGAATCTTAACTCTGGACAGCTACACACTAGTATACTAGCTACACACTAGGTGCCTACTGTTAACTACTAGACTGTAGGCCCTATGTAGACCTGCAGTTGTATCAATTGTAGACTGGGTCCATTGTTATTATTCTAAACCATCTCAGTCTTATAATGTTTCTAGCTTGATTTGTTTCTTTTATAAACAGTAGATTAAAACAAATTAGCCTAATCATTAACCAAATAATAATAATGTGGTTATTTGTCGTTGGCTGGTATGATCTAGCTAGATTCTACTACTAGGCTACATAAACTTAGTAGACTAATTACTAGATATGCAGTTTAATTTAATAAACTCAGACCAGTATCAGATACATATTGCTGTAAAAAGACACAAAGTAGGTAGGCCTTAGTAATTTATTAGAGCCTTCTACTACAATAATATCAATTACATTCTCGTATAAAAACTTTAAAATTTAATTTAAGTAGCAGATTCTAGATCTAAGTCTAGTCATACAATCTATTTCAATTTCAGAAAATTTCGTTTGCTAAAAAAATGATTAGATTGTAGAGCGAGATTTTAGATCTTAGAGACAATTAAATGCTTTATTAGGCCTACTATGACTACTTTTGATTTATTATGGGTGTATTTGGAATCGAATGTAGATCTAAATTTTGTAATTAAATTTAAGTAAAGAAGTAGATTCTAGATTCTATGTCTACCCAGCGGAGCCAGTCACCCTAAATCCAGAATCTAGATCTATGGTCCGAATTTTGTTTACACCATGTTTAGAGCTAGATTCTAGATCTAGATATTAAAACACTATTATTAGGCCTACTATTAGATCTTATTATTCTTATTATTACTTTTGACTTTGTCTTTTACTATTAGTATTTGTGAAGGTCGAGCATATTTGTTTTATTAATAGTTATCTTTTATAATTAAAATGAAGTTTATTATTTTACTGTCCTTACCTGAAACAAAGTATCGAGAACTGCATTTGATCAGATTCGTCTACTTAAACTCTAAACGCAAACAGTATTACAAACAGTATTTTTATTTAGAAATTTTGGCCACATATTTATATTATCTACGAAACTGTCAATAACAGTTTAAGGATCTTCAATTCCTAAGAGTTCAAGTTTTTTAACGTATTTTTCCTTTTCCGCGGGTGCGGTTCTATACATACAGTGAACGCGTCCAGCGCTGGTGAATAGCTGATTGTGTTTACGTCTGGTGCAGTGGCGTAGGCAGGGGGGGGGGTTAGGGGGGGTCATAACCCCCCCATAGACCCCTCGGTATATATAAAAAGTATGACGGGGGGTGCAAATCGAAAGTTTAAAGGGGGGGGGGGGTGCAAATCGAAAGTTTGAGGGGGGGGGGGGGTGCAAATCGAAAGTTTGAGGGGGGTGCAAATCGAAAGTTTGAGGGGGGGGGGTGCAAATCGAAAGTTTGTCCCCGGGTAAAAATTGGAACCCCCCCCCCCCCTTGAGACGATCCTGGCTACGCCACTGGTCTGGTGTACACCACCGTGGCGGCGGACTTAGCTATCACGAACGGACGTGACGTCATATGAAAGGACTCTATTGTTTATTTTGAACTTTGGCGATTTCCCAACCAATAGTCTTATGACTTTGGGAGTGACCTTCCCTGGTTCTGAGGTAATATAAAAACCCGAAACGCACAGGCTCCTGGCAGCCGCTTATCAGACATCCCGGGAGAGAGTGCGTGTGTGATTATTGTATTCTACAGTTTAAAGCAGCATTTTCCCCCCCCCCTATTATTTGTGATTTAGTGCTTTTCTATAAGTTGTGCTGAATTCCTTGTGCTACATCTGTGATATTTGTAACCTAGTGATTTTTCATCAACTTGAAAGTTGGGTTTTGGTTTATTTTGTACGCTAATATTATTTTGTATAGAAATAGTCACATTTTATACTTGTACTCATATTAAAAGGTTATTTTGGATTAAAGTTGTTATTAGTAACAGAGTTCTCCGTGTCTTTCCCCTAGAAGTTTTGTACGAGTCCACGTTGAGTTTTTGTGTCCGATATTCTTTAGTTGTTGTCATCCGCTAGTAACCATTCCAAAAGAATCCGTACGTTCGCTAGCTCTGCGAATGTTAGAGTGGCGCTCGTAATACACTGCTCTTTAAAAGTGTGACATAACAAAACATTTACAATGTACAAAGTACGGTTGCCATGTCAACAGATGACATCCACTTTCTGCCTCAAGTCCGTGTTATCAAAGCTGGGAATGGGAGCTACTTTCAGCAAGCAGGCAGCAAATTTTAGTGGAGTAGCCAGTGACTGGGCTGGACTGTACCTTGACCAAGTGGTCCATAAGGCTTTCATTAAGGTCACAGAAGAGGGAACAGAGGCAGCGGCAGCTACAGCTCTAGTCTCTAGCAGGATGAGACGTCAGGCATCCCCAAATCTTCAGATTATTGTGGATCACCCATTTTTGTTTCTTATACCTGAAATTAAAAATTTAAACATTTTGTTTTTGGGATTTGTCACATCTCTTTAATCACTAAAAATCATTAAAAAGGAAATAAATTTGAGCAACTTCATTTTAAATGTTTAAATTCGAGTTATAATGTTCCAGTTATTTCAATTGTTACTTTATTTTAATATTTATTTTCATCTCATGTAGTAATTTTTTTGTTTGCTTTTGTTAAATTCTTATTGCTTTTCATTTACAATTTTATTTCAACCACATCTTGCATTTTTGTTAAGTAGTGCAAACTCTATAAATCTGTTTTTATTGTGATCAGGATGCTAAATATCAGTTTTAAATACATTTGTGGTGACCATTTTTATCAATTTTTGTAACAATTTTTATTTGCTTGTTTATTTATTTGATGTATCATTCAAAATCATATGCACTTTAGCTCCTATGCAATTCTTATTAAGTAATAAACTACTAACCTACGTGTTGCAATGTATATAAAAAAATAATTTTAGTGTTCTAAAAAACACATTTTAGCTAGTGACAGCAAAATAAAATCTTAAGACTTTTTAATGATTACACTTTCAAATTTTCAGTTTGTTTAAAACCATTATGTCATCAGAGATTCCCCATAATAATTGACCACATACACTTTTTCTTTTAATCAGGTGACCAGCAGCTTCCTGCTAAAAGATCCCTTATCTAAACTTGGCATGGCTCATGCTTTTATTGATTCAAAAGCCAATTTCAGTGGCATATCAGAGGAGAATGACCTGGATATATCTGAGGTTATCCACAAGGCTTTTGTTAAGGTCAATGAGGAAGGGACGGAGGCGGCTGCTGCTACTGCAGTTATTATGATGTACAGTCGTTGCATGCCCATGCTACCTCATGAGGTCACTGTTGACCACCCATTTTTGTTTGTCATCAGGGATAATCGAGCCAACGGTAATCTTTTGTTTTTGGGTCAAATAGCTGACCCGTCATCTTAAACAAATTCGTTTTTTTATATAGAGATCTAAGCATTACAAATATTTAAAATTATTTTTTAACTTTATTTTAGAAAAGATTTACTGGTGCTGCAATTATATGTAATTAACCTATTTACAGTTGTAATTATAAAATTATCCTAATGACTATTGAAGATTACTGTTAATTGAAGCTAATGCTGATGTGATTAAAATGTAGTTTGTGATGTTCTTTTAATTGTTTTAATTAATTCAAAATGGGTTTTTTAATAGATTTTTAAAATTAACATGGCAGTTTAAGAAATATTTATCACAACACATATTCTATTTTGTTTTGCTAAAAAAATGTTTAGGTTATTGTCTATTTAACTTCATTTTGTAAAACATCATTAAGACTGGGTTTGCATTACTTTAGAATTTAGAATTATATCTAACAATAATACCTGCACTTACCAGGGGCGGAACTACAGTGCCACCAGACCCCGCAATGCGGGGGGCCCACGCCATTTAGGGGCCCATAGCCGACCATAATAAATGTTTTATAGTTTAAAAAATAATTTTCTTGACAGTAAAAGCTTTTGTAAATAACAAACAGATCTACTGCATTAGTGATGTTATACAGTAGCTAACACATCCTGTTGCGTAAAAAAAATATATATGCCTGAGCTGTAGTGTGAAAGATAGGCAAACGTTCAAAACATTTCCGTGGCTTATTTCCCTTTTTTTAAATAGTTAAAAAGGGTTGCTCATAAGCTCCTTTTAATATATGTGTACTAAACAAATTTAAAAGCAATTACTTCTCTTACTTATTATTTTAAAAGAAAAATACATACTAAAAATGACAGAGCATAAAAAGGAAATATATTTAAAAGAAATAATATAAATACAAAAAAATAACTTAAAAATAAACATAACACGAGAAACCATTACACTTTCATATTTTATATTCTTTTGACCGGCTACAATGTAGTAGATAGGCAGATTTACCGCAAACTAGTTCTAAACCTAAAAAAAAATACGAAGCAGACTAATGCACTAACACACATAATATGTTGTAATTTGTTTAAATTGAAAAAAAAAAGATTTTTTTTTTAAAAACCCGATCAGGCCAGAAATGTTTGTATTCTGTGTTTGTATATATATATATATATATATATATATATATATATATATATATATATATATATATATATATATATATATAGGAGGGGGCCCAGCATTTTTCTTTGCGGGGTGGCCCTTTTTTTCTAGTTCCGCCACTGGCACTTACCATGTTGTTTTTTTTTTTTTTTTTTTTTTGTTTTTTTTTTTTTGACATCCAGAAAACGATGTTCAATATATCATTGCATTTAAACATAAAAGTTTCAAATTTTAACAAAACAAAAATTCATGAACTATCAGGCAAAAACTTCCTATAAGTGTGATGACTGTGACAATATGACCAGAAAATGTTTTTACATTTTTAAAAATTCAAGCTCATTAAGTGTAGTTATATTTATTTATTGTAAAACCAATGGGTTTTTTTTTTACTGTCAAATGTACCTGTTGATACTTTCAGCTGATTTATAATATTAATCTGTGATTATTTTTTACTTTTTGAAAAATTGATTTTTATTACATATCAATATCATAGATTTATTATATAATGTTTTTAAAAACTGTATTAGCTCATTATTAAAGCTTTTAATATATTTAATATTGTTCTTAGTGGTTTTTATTGGTGCAACACTACATCGTAGCTATTTATTTGAATAAAAAGCTCTCTTTTTATTTACTGCTACAATAAAACTCTTCTATGCACACTTCTTTTGTTGTCTTTTTAATTATGTATTTCAATTTAATCTCTTGACAGCAAAATTTCGTCCTTTTCCCGTTCGTGTCTAAGTCACATGGTGCAGATGAAGAAGAGTTCATCTGCTTTAATCTTCTTCTTCTTCTTCTTCGTTCTTAATTTTTGAATATGGTGGAGGATTCAGACAACAAGTCCAACTTCGTGGACAAACCGGACTGTGGTTTCCAGTTTGTCAGGTGTCCCATATAATTTTTCCCTGAGTGGGGTGGGCTGGGGCTATACAGAGTACAATCCTGGAGTACGTGCTCCGTGTTTTCCGGGGCCTTGCCACAAGGGCACATTTCGCTACACCCAACCTTCAGTTTTTTGTGCATGTGTTGATTTAGTCTGTTGTGGCCTGTTCTGAGTCGAAAGATTATGTATTGTTGTTTTCGTGTTAAATTGTAATAGCCGTCGTCTTTAATGTAGTGAGGGTGTGTGACAGACCACATTTGCGTTTGTTTGTTTTTAATTATTCTTTTTATTTCTTTTGGGTGTAGCGAAATTACCGGTTGTGGTTTCTTTCCCCCAATTTTTGCCAGCTGGTCTGCGATCTCGTTACCCTGGATCTGGCAGTGGCCCGGGATCCACTGCAGCACAATTCTGCTGCAGGTATTTTTTAGCCTCTCTAGTGCTGTCATAAGTGTTTGAATATAATCTGCTTTAATGATCTCGGCATACAAGGGGATACATGTGATCAGAACTATGCCCTGCAGCCAGTGAAGTAGCTAGGATTTTTGGGCCCTTATGCAAAAATTATCAGTTGGGCCCTTCATCAACCATTAGGCTACAATAGGGAGTTATACAAAGAGATCAACGGCTACTTACGATGGATAGTTTTAAATGATACAAGTATTTTGTATGTGTATTTATACGTCCTGATTGTATATTTGTACTATATTATTATGTAAAAATGTTACAGGCTTATAGTTAATTTGTTATTTTTGTAAGTGACCAAACACAGTAGCGTCACAATGCGGGGGCAGAAGTGCTGTACACATCGGATTACAACATTTAGACGTGACACCATGACAAACTATTGCAGAATTTACTGCCAAAACTATGATGTATCCAGCTAAAATAATAAAAGCGTGATAGGGCTGACACCCCTCCAACAAATGCAGCTTCTTAAATGAACTATGGGGTGGTGACACATTGAGTAAACGCATAGGGGAACACCCAACCTTGTGATGCCACTAACCTAACACAATTTTTTTTTAAATGGTTCATAATTAATTTAGATCTGGGGGTTTCTTTTTTGGCAAAATGGGTTAATTGAAATCTATTTTAGCTGCTTCAGTAAGTTCTATACCTAGGATGGCCAAGCTACTGACACAATGGGCATATATATGTAATTTGTTTCTTAACAAATTAACATTATCATAATGAGTTTCAAATATTCCATCACAGACATCAAATCTCCTTCCCAATCACCATGGAATTTTAAAGAGTGTTTAAACTAACTAGCGTACCCGCCCGCGTTGTTGCAGTCTAGTCATACATACCAGAGAGAAAAACAATTTTAAAGGGTTTCATCAACGCGTTACCAACTGCGTATTTGTAGTTGTGTGACCTTGTTTTCTAAAACTGTAAAGTTAAAATATAAACTACCCCACCACTATTTTTAATTTTTATTTTGGGATCCTTGTTGCGGTGACGCGGGTTCGTTCACACTACCGCTCAGACGCGCTTGAAAGCATTAAGTGTACGTTAATCATCCTCCGTAATAGTGAGGTTGAATACTTTTCAGCGACCGCCTAGGTGTCAGGGGCGTCGTGTGAGTGACCGGTTACACGACCGTAGGTAGCCTGATGCAACCCCTGGTTCGCTTTAATCATCGAACGTAGAGTCCTACCGTGTCCATTTTATAGAATATTCGTGTAATTGGTGTCCACCGTACGCCTGGGTGTCCAAAGCCGCCCCCGTTGCAGTTTCACCGTTGAATCAAGTAGTACCCTTGGCTCTGCAGGATGCGCAATCAATGGATACCTTCCACTCAGGTGGTGTCCGGTCAAAAACCCCCTGGACAAAAACCCCCTGGACATAAACCCCCCGACATAAACCCCCTGGACAAAAACCCCCCGCGACATAAACCCCCTGGACAAAAACCCCCCGCGACATAAACCCCCTGGACAAAAACCCCCCGCGATATAAACCCCCCGGATAATAACCCCCGGACTGAGGTATATATAATGCGTTGGCCTTTGTTCCCATTGAACACATGAGTTATGCCTTTGAAAAATTATTGGAAATTTTCCCCCAAGAAGCAATGCCGATTGCAGACTACTTTGAGGACTACTATGTTGGCAGACCACAACGTCGAGGTCGAAGACAACCTATGTTTCCACTTGACATGTGGAACATGCACACACGTGCAGAAGACCTTATGCCAAAAACAAACAACTCAGTTGAAGGCTGGCACAGAAGTTTTCAGTCGCATATGGGATGTAGCCCTCCAAATATTTGGAAATTTATTGACTTTATTAAAAAGGAACAATCTCTCCAACAAGTTTATTGTACACATATTAATTCAGGTCACTGTTTACCAAAACAGAAAAAAAATATATTGATAGCAGCTCTCGAATTTTAACTGTTGTTAAAAATTTTAAAGAGTCCACCATTATTGAGTATTTGCGAGGCATCGCTCACAATGTCTTTTTAAAGTTATAATAAAAATAAAAGTTTTTTCTTATGTTTGTTTTGTATTTTTATATTAATTTTGTTTCTCATCATCTTTGGTTTTTCCTTATATAAACCTCAATTGGGGGGTTTTTGTCCAGGGGGTTTATATCGCGGGGGGTTTTTGTCCAGGGGGTTTATATCGCGGGGGGTTTTTGTCCAGGGGGTTTATGTCGCGGGGGGTTTTTGTCCAGGGGGTTTATGTCGGGGGGTTTATGTCCAGGGGGTTTATGTCCATTGGGTTTTTGACCGGGAGCCCACTCAGGTAGCCGCTTGGTAACTCGGGACGACCAACTGTTATTAATGCTGAAGCGTTGGAGGATACCCCTAGTTCGATTTAGTAATCAATTTTAGTAACACTCCGTATCCCTAGGTTATGGTGCTCATTAAAACGAGTACAGGGTTACACGACCACCGGGGTGCCCGCCGGCTAATGCGCCTGTGCAGTTTGACCACTGGATCAAATAGTAACGCTGACCCGCTGCGCCGGAGACCCAAACAACGGACCGCAGGTGCAAAGATAGCTGCCGGGATCGCCCTCCGAAATAAAATAAAAATGTAATGGCAGAAACCTTCTTAAAAGTCTGAGTTTCTTTAAAGCAAATTTGCAGAAAAATGTCTAGAATAAAAACCCTGCCTGAAGTATTATCAACCACTTTCTAAAATTTCTTGGCGATTGAATGAAAACCAAAAGCTCGTGGTGTTAGTACTGTCGTATTGATTAAAGTTTAATTAGTTTAAGCAAATGAAATGTCATTAATGTAAAAATTAGTAGAAAAATACTGATAAATGTTTGACTTCGCTTGTTGTGAAAACACTGTCCATGGTTGTTAATGCTATTTAAATTTTAAAAAATCGTTCAGTTGTTATCATTGATGTTTAGTAGGATGGAATTTCGGGCAGGGCAGATTGTTGCACGACAAAACCTGTAATGTTATTCTTACTGATGGGCCCTCTTCGACCCCTCCCCCCTCCCACTGAATCATACTGCCTATACAGTTGGAATGGACTATGGGCCTTTTTGGAACTTATAACCTTTTTTTTTTTAAATTATTTATATAAAACAAATTTTTAAGTTCCAATAAAAAGATTTTAATTTTTTTAGAGGGAAAAAAGCCCCTATGTGCCTTGGCCTGTTAGTAGTATATCAGGTCCCCTTTGGTTAGCATTTTTAGCGGAGCAGGAACAGGAGCATGAGCAAAGGATAGACAGAAAAATACGCCAGGCCGCAAGGACAATGACACATAGTAAAATACTCCCCCTGCGCCACGCCAACCTGGCGCAATGACATATAGTAAAATACGCCAGGACATCTGTTGCTTAAATCACATTATAAGTCTAGCGATTTTTTTAACTATTAAATTTTTATTTTAAATTTTTAAATTAAAAAAAAAATCTTTTTAATATTTTAGTTTATTTTTTAATTTTCTAATTTTTGTTTTTATTTTTTTTTTATTTTTTTATTTTTTTAAGTTTTTAAATTTTTATTTTTAATTTTTTAAGTTTTTAATTAGTTTGATTTTAATTAGTTGTTTAATTTTAAAAATAAGGTAGTCCTATTTTAAATATTTAATAACAAAATCATTATTTCTATCATTAGAGAAATCCCTATTGTTGTTGGGCATTCAATACATTCACCCTGTCTGCGAATCTATTACATTAGTCATCAAAGTTGTCTTTGTGTATATAATGTAGGATCGCATTATAGCAGTGGTCAAACCCATTAACTACAGGTCGAACCAAAAAAAAATCAATACTTGTTGTAATTAACAGACTATTAAATGTTTTCATAAGGGACATTACTCTTGGCTGTAAACAAGGTTGTTCTAGTTTTAGAACCGTCGTCCCTCCTCCAGTGGCGGAACTAGAAATCAAGGGCTCCCCCGCAAAGAAAAATCTAGGGCCCCCTATATATATATATATATATATATATATATATATATATATATATATATATATATATATATATATTAATTACTCAGGATATAGATCATGTATATATATATATATATATATATATATATATATATATATATATATATATATATATATATATATATATATACATGATCTATATCCTGAGAAATTTAGTTTACTTCATTGCAAAATATAACCATTCTTTTTTTTTTTTTTTTTTTTTTTTTTTTTTTTTAGTGCATTAGTCTCATTTGAAAATCTATATATATAATTCTCTTCTTCGAGCCGTTAGAAAACAAGCTGCAAACGCTCTCCCTACCTCCCCACCCCTACATGGTTTTAGTGAGCTGTGTTCACTCTAAATGTTTACAAGCAGAGCCAACGATTTTAAACGTAGGTGGGGGGAGGAGGGGGGAGGGAAGGAAGGGGGGGGGTTATGGTCCTTAACGAGCTACTTATAGTATTTTAAAGAAATATTTTCAGGGTCAGCGTTGGTACTGTCGAATTCACAAATTATGAATTATTGAAAATTAGAAACAACTAAATAGCGGCGTATGTTATGCCGCGGGCCGGCTCGTATGTTTTATTTTATCTCAGCTATAATATACTAGGCATGCTGCCCAGCTTCGCTTAGGCTTTCGAAAACATTGAGAATTTGAATGCTAATTAATTCGCCCGAGGGTCGGTCTACGACCTCAAGAGTTATGAAGAGGTTCCCCCGTGGACATTTTTTTCGATTTATAGCTCATATAAGGTACCGGTCAGTCGAGGTCAGTTTTGACCCCCTCATCGTAGACTTTTCGGCCAACCGGCCCCCGTGTTCTGTCGCCCCAAGGCAAGGTCCTGCCAAATTTGAAGCGCCTGCGGCGCCGGGAAGTGCCCAATCGGACACCCGACAATCTAGATCTAGATTCCTAATAGAATTTTTTTTTTAAGTTTAGCCCGAGCATAATAAAAAAAAATACATTAACCAAGTTGACTTGGTGTGTCTCGAACCCGCACTACCTGCGTGGTTTAAAGTACACTAACATCTCCGCTGTTTAGGCACCTTATAAAATATGGAGAATGAAACACGTATTTTAAAATCTTAACTTACGCGAATATGCCTATTCATTCAAATTAATTTTTTTATCCCAAATTAGCCAGTTCCAAACAAAGATTTTGTATAAAATAAATAAGTCTTGAAATAGTTTAGTCCTAATATAGAAATTTATTTTTGGAATAGATGTTAGAGAAGTTAGAGTCTAAATCTAGATCTTAGCGTCTACGTCTAGATCTAGATCTAGTTATTGCGTAGATTTAGATTTAGATTTAGTCTAGATCTAGAATCTCTAGATCTAGAATCCAAATAAATAAAATAAATTTTATGAGTTTAGGCCGGAAAAATTGTATTGTATACATTTCATAGTGTACGTAGATCTAGATCTAAATCAAATTTGAATGAAATAGTTCATTTATTTTCTTTTTATTGTAAACACGGCAGATGACGTCATTAGTTAATGTATAAGCAATAGTGACGTCACAGTTTTATGCGTTCTTTTTCACATATATTAATGCTTTTCCGGTTGCATAAATAATACTGTTTCTCTACATTCGAATACGCCTTTAATTTTTATTTTTCTTCTTTAAATAAAATTGTGGTTATACATTTAAAACATCTAACATATTATTTTCAACAAAAGTCCGTATAAAGTTATCCATATATCGTTGCCGTTTCTGACGTGATGTCCGGCGAAAATATTTTGCGGACAGACAGAGAGAGAGAAGAGCGCACACAGCCTTTTATATATTAGGATGACCATTCTTAGAGAACAAAACAGAAAATATTTAGCCCAAACTCATTTTGAGTGAAGAGTAGTATCCTATACATGCTGGTCAAAAATATATAAAGACGTTAGCTTGATTCGTGAATGGTTTCTCGCGTTATGTTTATTTTTTTCATTTTTGGCTTTTATAATATCAATTTTGAAAACATTGATTTTTATAGCTATACTATTGTATAGTACGTCTTATTTAAATAACAATTCAGAGAATCAATTGCTTTTTAATATACATAGTACAAAACTATTTAAATGAGCTTCGTGGGCATCCCTATTTTAAAGAAGGGCAGTAAGTCATGGAAGTAGTGTGAATGTTTACCTACCTTTCAAACTATAGCTCTTGTAGATTTTAAAATATTTTTCTACGCAACAATCTCTGCTATAGTAGACCTGTTTTTTTTTTTTTACAAAACCACTTTCAAGATGCATGAAAACATAATTTTTGAAAAAAAAAATGCATTGTTTTTTGGTCGGCCGTGGGCCCCTAAACGTCCTGGGCCCCCCCCCCCCCCCGCATTGCGGGGTCTGGCGGTATGGTAGTTCCGCCCCTGCCCTCCTCTCGTTTCTCTATTGGGATAGATGCGACACGCATTTTTAAATGTAAACAAGAGCGCACGGGGGTACACTTAAAATAAACCCTGCTGCGAAAATGACAATGGAATGGTGACACCTTTTGGAAAAACTCTTTCATGCAAATAAACTGAAGACGCCTATGTTGGCGCCATAATAATGAGGAACAGATCATGGCACTTGTGTACATCTGCTAAAACATTGATCTACAAAAGTTTGTCTTGTTATCTGTAACCACGTGCAGTTGTAGTCAACGAAACGTTTTCTATTGTGTATTGTATCATTTGTTCCATAACTGGGCATCAAAATCAGATAATTTCAGCTGGTTAGTTTGATGTGTTTGATTCTGGATTTGACTTCCCGGTATCCTATAGCAGTAAAAACTTCCGCTATTAATATTTGTATATTGAACTGGTTGAGCCAAAAAAACAATCACTGAATACACAGACATAATTATAATAATTATGAACGAAACATTTATTCTCTCATTTATTTTTAATTTCCTGCAGGTTTCACCAGGGAATTACAGTTGGAAACGTTAACAAAAATGGGAAGTATTTTATCTGGACCCTCTAAACAATCAGGTAGAATGAATGGCTCCCACGGAAATAGTATTAAGAGAACGTTTAATTATTTTGAAAATCGTGTGTGGTGTAATTAAAAACAGGTGTGGTTTTTGAAAATTGATTGTGTGGTTTCCGTTTGACTTAACAAAAGATTGGAGGAATTTTATCCTTTTAGTATTTATAGAAAAAGTAAAAAAAAATTTCCCCAAATTTTCTCATTGAAAATGTAAACAAAAATGACGTGATTAGGTCCAGTTGACTTCAAAAGCAATGTTGTGGGTAAAACGTGCAGTTTACAGATACAAAATCACAGGTGTTTGATGCAGCCAAGTTTGTCTTACAAATAGCTGTAGCTAAGTTTGTCTTACATAATATAGCTGCAACCAAGATACGCTCTAATAGATAATAGTGGCAAATTATTTATAGTTCACATTGAACGTGTTGAACCAAATATGAACGACTCATTTTATATGCAGACAACGGCGTAGATATTTGTTATACTTGTTAGAGAGAATAGATAAAATGTTTTCTTAAAATAGCAAACTATGCATGTGGGAACGTTGATTTAAAAATAAAACAATCCATGTATTTCTCTAGATTAAAAGTTAAGATCCTTCAGGTAAAAATATTGATAACTTATAATGTAAATAAAGCCTTTTTTGAAGGTTTTTAACTGAGGGACTACAACTCAGTCTAAGTACTAACATATAATCAACATAAACATAAGCCTCAAATTAAACACCAAGTGCAAATACCAATATCAAAGAAATAGTCTCAAGGATCACAAATATGAGACATGAACCTCAAGGATCACAAATATGAGACATGAACCTCAAGGATCACAAATATGAGACATGAACCTCAAGGATCACAAATGTGAGACATGAACCTCAAGGATCACAAATGTGGGACATGAACCTCCAGATCACAAATGTGACCTATGAACCTCAAGGATCACAAATGTGAGACATGAACCTCCAGATCACAAATGTGACCTATGAACCTCAAGGATCACAAATGTGAGACATGAACCTCAAGGATCACAAATGTGAGACATGAACCTCAAGGATCACAAATGTGGGACATGAACCGCAAGGATCACAAATGTGAGACATGAACCTCAATGATTACAAATGTGAGACACGAACATCAAGGATCACAAATGTGAGACATGAACCTCAAGGATCACATATGTGACCTATGAACCTCAAGGATCACAAATGTGAGACATGAACCTCAAGGATCACAAATGTGAGACATGAACCTCAAGGATCACAAATGTGAGACATGAACCTCAAGGATCACATATGTGACCTATGAACCTCAAGGATCACAAATATGAGACATGAACCTCAAGGATCACAAATGTGAGACATGAACCTCAGGGATCACAAATGTGAGACATGAACCTCAAGGATCACATATGTGACCTATGAACCTCAAGGATCACAAATGTGAGACATGAACCTCAAGGATCACAAATGTGAGACATGAACCTCAAGGATCACAAATGTGAGACATGAACCTCAAGGATCACATATGTGACCTATGAACCTCAAGGATCACAAATGTGAGACATGAACCTCAGGGATCACAAATGTGAGACATGAACCTCAAGGATCACATATGTGACCTATGAACCTCAAGGATCACTAATGTGAGACATGAACCTCAAGGATCACATATGTGACCTATGAACCTCAAGGATCACAAATATGAGACATGAACCTCAAGGATCACAAATGTGAGACATGAACCTCAGGGATCACAAATGTGAGACATGAATCTCAAGGATCACAAATATGAGACATGAACCTCAAGGATCACAAATGTGAGACATGAACCTCAAGGATCACAAATGTGAGACATGAACCTCAAGGATCACATATGTGACCTATGAACCTCAAGGATCACAAATATGAGACATGAACCTCAAGGATCACAAATGTGAGACATGAACCTCAGGGATCACAAATGTGAGACATGAACCTCAAGGATCACATATGTGACCTATGAACCTCAAGGATCACTAATGTGAGACATGAACCTCAAGGATCACATATGTGACCTATGAACCTCAAGGATCACAAATATGAGACATGAACCTCAAGGATCACAAATGTGAGACATGAACCTCAGGGATCACAAATGTGAGACATGAACCTCAAGGATCACAAATATGAGACATGAACCTCAAGGATCACAAATGTGAGACATGAACCTCAAGGATCACAAATGTGAGACATGAACCTCAGGGATCACAAATGTGAGACATGAACCTCAAGGATCACTAATGTGAGACATGAACCTCAAGGATCACAAATGTGAGACATGAACCTCAAGGATCACAAATGTGACCCATAAACAAAATATTTCCATCGGTACGAAGATCTCTAATGACAAATAAAAAGGGATGGTCTACAGTAAACAGAGCAGGTTGCAATCGGAGGCATCCGTCCATGATTAATGAAGTAGCAGCAGCCGCCTCCGTCCCTTCCTCGTTGACCTTAACAAAAGCCTTGTGGACAACGGCAGATATAACCAGGTCATTCACCCCTGATATGCCACTGAAATTGGCTTTTGAAGCATCAAAAGCATGAGCCATGCCAAGTTTAGACAAGGGATCTTTTAGCTGGAAGCTGCTGGTTACCTGTAGATATATATGACAGGTTTAAACTGAGTTTACTCGTAGGGTGTAAGTTCAATTTTTTTAGATATTAATTGTTCGAGATTTCTTGTTTTTTTTAAATACCATTTTACCTCAAATTTGGGGAGACTAAGATGTATCTGTTTATCTGATGTTTTTAGACAACTTGTCAATGTTTGTAGTTTTGAAGACGTCAAGCTTGCTATAACATCCTAGTATTAAAAAATCATTTTATAACCAGGAAGGCTTAAATGATTTAGAAATGTAATTTGTCAATGTTTGTAGTTTTGAAGACGTCAAGCTTGCTATAACATCCTAGTATTAAAAAATCATTTTATAACCAGGAAGGCTTAAATGATTTAGAAATGTAATTTAATTAGATTTAACCGATTTTTTTTTAAAATTAGAATACATTTTTTAAAAATCGCAAATAAATTTCATGTTTTGGGAATCCTATTTAAGTGAATAAGAATCGCACATTAATTTATTTTTAAAAAAGTATAAATTATACGTTAAAATAAAAATTTATAATCCTAAACAGTTTTGTTTATTAAATAATTTGAACAACTTAAGTTATCTATAGTAAGCAAAAATTGAATATTATTGTATTAGGTAAATAAATATACTTGGAGACCAAAATCGGTGGTGGGAAGCATGATGACCATGGCTAATTCTTTTTCTTTGTAATAAAGTTGAAGAGCTTCACACTTGAGCTCATTGTCTTTGACGTGGGAATAATAATCTGTATGAGACATCATCTGTACGTCTTTGGTCTGGGTTGGAGAAACTTTAAACGGTCTGGGTCTGGTGCAATTCTCATCAAAGGGACACATCCAGTTGGCTGAATCAAAATACAAAAGAGAATGAGCGATTGGATTGGGTCTTAAACAGACACTGTAATTAGACTAGTTGTCAACTCGGTTGAAATTTAAAAATGTGTACGTTTATAAGTAAAGGCTTCATTAAAATGTATTTCTATACTAAAAAAGACAGGCTTATATATGTATATGTATTTGTGTATATATACTTATATATATATATATATATATATATATATATATATATATATATATATATATATATATATATATATATGTTAGATCAAAGCCCGAAGTCGGCCAAAGCACGCATTGGCCAATATCGCCTACCATTGACCGGCCAAAGTCCGAAACTTTACTTCATTCCGGCCTTTTGCCGGCCAATCCGCGGACTGGCCATGGTGGACCGGCCAGTCCGAATTAGAAGATCATGTGCAGATTTTTTTATTTTTTTTATACAGTAAGGATCATAAAAATTAAGTCTTTGTTGATTATTATTTGGAATTACATTGTTATTTTTACACTTTCAGCTATTTGTTGTGCACTAGGTTGTGCCTGTAGCATTGGCCGCCGGTCAGTGATTGTGAAGATGCGATGGTTCGTAGTGATTTTCCTCAGTGACAATGAGAGCCGTTTTTCGTGAAGAATTGAAAACTCACGTCTAGCTTATAGTTGTTTAAATACACCATGTTCCGTTCCTAGCTTGTAGAAAGCGCCCTCGACGCTCATGCCAACTGCAATGACGCTTCGGGGATCACCGCGACCTCTGTCAACATCTGGAATACGGATGCGACCAGTATCTTTTCACTTCAGCTTGTTTAAATGTTGTTAGCATCTTAGCACCTTGAGTTTGCAAGATAGTATGAGCTGCTGACCTGTTGTCCATGGTTTCTTGTTTATTGTGACATAATATGCAAGTACTGTTCCCTTCGTACTCTTCGTCTGCTATTCCGCATATTGCATGGACATCGTTGCCACAGGATCCACAAGAATGGGCCGAACTTCAATATTTTTCACAAACTACACAGAATCTGTTGGCCTTATTATTGTCACGCAGTTGTTCTAGACGTTCCGCCACGGCAGAAGATGTGTTAGCTGAGGATGTCGTGGTATTTATGGCAACCTCCATTTCTTGTTCAGTTTTCTCAAGATCTTCCTCAGTAACTAACTTATCGAGAGCCTCTCTTGGTAGATTTGAAGTGGTAAGTCCCACTTTTGCTTTGCATCCAAACAAGGCTTCGTATGGCGATTGTTGGATTCCTTGATGAAAATTACGGTTTTTCATAAGACTCTCAGCCCAATGAGCTGATTCATTTGTTTGCATCCATGTCATCATCATGTTTTGAACATCTTGGTTGGCACGTTCTACTGAACATTGGCTTTGGCTATGCCTTGGTTTGCTGTGAACTAGTTTAAGTTCAGGCCACATGTTCTTTAGTTCAGAAATAACTTGATTCACAAATTCTGTTCCATTAGGATTTGGATTTTTTATTTTGGCAGCCATCTGGTATGTCTGTCTCTTGATCTGACGGTCCTTTTTGGTTACTCACAATGAAACAGCACCCAGAATAATGAAAACGCGATCACAACTTAGTCTAAATAGAATATTAGCCATGGCAACCCGGCCAGTGCGCACATTGGCCGGCTAATGTACAAAATACGTTGTCAAGTTTAAGTGCTTCGGACTTTGGCCAGTATGTCCCGGCCAATGCGCGCATTGGCCGGCCAATGTGGGCTTTGGTCGCACTTCGGGCTTTGACCGTAACATATATATATGTAATATTTCCTATGAATAAACATGATTTTATTGATTTAAGTTTTTTTCGAAAATGTGTAGATTAGCAATATAATTATAATCAACCATCTGTTCAAGAACAGACAAGGACTTCCGCACCACGTTTATTCTCACATCTCACAATTGGTGGAAATTATATGAATCCCCCACCTCAACACGCAATTTAGGTAACTGTGATTTAGCTGGAGACAGTCGTCAAGAATCACTTGGATTTAAACACACGATGACTTGCTAGTCAAATCCTTGTGTTTGACGAACCACTCTTATTTACATGAGCTCGACACTCACCTTTAAAGTAAATAGCATTAACAAGCACCATTCGAGTTAGTGCATGCAAGGTACCAGATGATATCACGTCGTTGATTTTATTTTTTGTTTGCTCTGAGACCCAGTTGTTGATCTGATGTCTTTCGTTGTCAGCATCACTCACAAAATTTGAACTCACAGCCTCTGTGGGATCAAATAGGATACCAATATATTAAACAAATCAATGACACCAAAAGATGTTTTGGTTCATAACAAAATAATTTGTCAATGGTAGCAGCATAAGTAGTTACTACCTCTTGTTATTTCAGATTACTCAACTAACTACAATGATTATGGTATCTAGCTGGGTATATAAAAACAAACCAACATAACCTGCATTATAATATTTCTTTGTTTTGTTTTTGAACTCGTCTAAAACTGCATAGCTTTTTTCTATGTAGATCCTATTGGCAGTGGACAGTTGGTATTGATCGTTTGGTGTCTGTAGCTGTGTGACATAAGCCTGAAACTGCTCATGGAGTTTAGCCTCGTCATCTGTCTCCCAGCGCAAGGCTTTAGCCATTCCTTGAGCTGTTTCCTCGCGAGCTCCTAAATGGGTCATGGCCAGAGCAACAGAAATGCTAAAAGGTGAAACAAACTTGTTTTGGTTCTGGTTTCCATCGTAGAGAATCTTGAAGAGGTCCAAAGCAAATTTGTTGTTGGCAGCGGTCACTAGAGGTACGTCGATGGCGTCAGTGGTAGGTGTAATAATTGACGCGTCCAACATATTTTTGGCAGCTGTCACTAGAGGTACGTCGACGGTCGTTGTCACAACTGGCTGGACGCTCGTCTTATTGGACGATCTCAAAAATGGCTCGTCTACAGTCTTGTGAGCTAAAATACATTATTTTTTTAAAGAGTTATTTTTCGTTTGATTTTGCCAAAACTTATTGTGTACAGAGGCGAAGCGACCCTTCCCGGCGCCCCGGGGCGAACTTTGAATTTGGCGGCCCCCCCCCCCCAAAATATATATATATATATATATATATATATATATATATATATATATATATATATATATATATATATATATATATATATATATATATATATATATATATATATATATATATATATATATATATATATATATGTAACTGGGGTAGGCCTAACTACCAGTTACAAATGATAACGAACGAGAAGCCGAGACACAGTGTTGGTCTGATGCAACCGATAACAGGTGGCTTATTGGGTCGGGCTGATAACAACCTCAAAGCCGGCGCGTGCTATTTTGGGAAACGGTATTCAGACGGCCTGTCAACTTTGATGGATAGGACGCAGATGTTATTTTACGGTCTGTACGTTTGAACTACGCAACTGGTGGTCGGAGATCGAGTACAAGTATCGATTACGGAGGAATACAAGTACAGAGACGAGTACGGATACAAGGCATAAATAGGAGGGCACGGCAGGACTCGCTCTCTCTTCTCTTCCCGTTTCGAGGCTCTTGCCTCTTGCATCGCTCGCTTAGATCAGTCAGTCTGTGTGACTATGTCAAGTCGGTTATAGAACGGGTTAGCCGTATTGTGTTAAGAAGGATTATAGACATGTGGATTCAGTTATATAAAGCCTAGTGAAGGACTGTTAGGGGTCAGTTGATTCAGACTATTATTGAGAAGCATTCCTGTTGATTTATTGTGTTATTATGAAGCATTTCTTGATTCATGTAATAAAGGATCAATAGCGAACCTGCATCTTGAGTATCTATACTGTGGTCAATGTTGTCTAGAATGAGTGGTTAAACTCGTTAACACGTGGCACTACAGGCAATTAGGTCTCATTACATGTGGCGTTGCGAGCATGGTAACTGTTGGCTCGTTACAATTGGCGTTGTCGGCAGGATAAATGTTCGCTCGTCACAATTGGCGCTGCGAGCAGGGTCACATTTGGCGCTGCGAGTAGCCTAGGTCACAATTGGCGCTGCGGTCAGGATGAATTCAACTAGACTTGCCGTTTAAGGCACCTATAGTCAACCTTGTGCATAACTGTGTTTAGTGTGTGTGTGAATTCGGACATTCAGGAACTGTGAAAATTGAGGAACGAGGAAAAATTTTTCATACACACACGGTAAGAAAGAACTCTCTTTTTTTTAGTACTTAAGGAAGAAAATGTCTACTCTGGACGAGAAGCAGACCCATATAGTGGTCCTACCCAGAGAGTCCCATATTAACAAATTTTACGGGGACGGAGACCCAACTTTAACCAACAGGTTCAGTGAAGAGGTCAAAGCGGCCTGGGCCTCGAGACATATGTCACCAGAGGAAAGATTAAGACTGCTGATGGGCAGTATAGGTGAAACGGTTAGGGCAGAGGTTAAGTGCCACGATAGGACCGTCCAATCAGATCCAGATAAGGTGCTGGATCTGATTATGGAGACCTTTGGGGAGAGACGGTCGGGAGTGCAACTGCTATCGGGATTCGTGGGCTTAAAGCAGAGAATGGCGGAGAGTGTGATGGAGTACTCACACAGGATGAACAGGGCCTTTGATTTGGTAAAGGGCAAATCACCGGACATTGATGTACGCCTACTGAGGGACCATTTCATCGAGGGGCTAGCAACCCCGATCTTAAGGAGAGAGTTGAAAGAGGAGGTCCACAGAGACCAGCAGTTGACCTTCCTTCAGGTCAGGAACTCAGCGATCCGCAGGTCCGAGGATGAGGACCAATCGAACTGTTCGGTGGATAAAGTCTCTGTGCCTGAACAGAGACAATCCCCACCCACAGGGGCCGACACGATGGAGACCATGATGGCTCAACTGTTGGCCCACCTAGAGAAGGTTGACCAACGTTTGGAGAGGTTGGAAAGCAGGTCAACAGCTGAGAATCAGGAAAAGAACGGGACAAAACAGGGACGGGTTGGACGGCCGTGTCCTGCCAAGCCATCACTCCAATGGACGGCAGACGGTCGACCAATTTGTTTGTCTTGTTCACAACCCGGACATATGGCACGGTACTGTCCGGTGAAACGATCGCCCTCTGTAAGGCAGGTCAAGGCTACAGAGCGGCGAGGTAATGACTTGGTAAACAAAATGACAAAGAAACACAGTAAGGAGAAAAAGAAAGGTAAAACACAACTAATGGAAAAAATGAACTGTGAAATGAACTTGAATGTTGAAAAGTGTCAAGTGAACAATTTGTTGGTAGAGAAAAATGATGATAAGAAGAAAATTGGTAGACTTAATAAAGGAATTCAAAGTCTAACCAGGAAACTGGATAGGAAAAGTTCATGCAAATCAAAAGCACAGGAGAAATGTTCATCTTTAAAGTGTCTGTTATCGGAAGAAGTAAATAAAAATATTAGACAACAGAACAGTGTTGGCAAACTAGAAGGAATGAAAGAGTCTCAAACAAGACTTGAAGAAAAATTATCAGATATTGAAAAAGAACTTCAAATTACAGCAAGGCTGGGATCCATCGAACAGCGATGGGCAGCAGAATTGGCACTCGTTGACCTAGAGAGAAAACATCGCCCGGGGCGGTCCAATGGCAATGCGGACGCCTTATCAAGGAATCCTTACGAGAGACCGGGTGATGAGGAAGAAACACTGACAGGAATATGTGAGGTCAGAGCGTCAACAGATATCCCTCATGGGGTACAAGTGATGCAGAACGGGCAGACCGGGGTGGAGCACATATCCACAGAGCCCGAACATATGGACAGTAGTGATTTTAATTGCCTTAATCACAAAAAGATAAGAGATGCCCAGAGAACGGATAGTGGCTTACAACCGCTATTGAAATACGTCCAGGAACAAAAATTCCCAGGAAGAAGGGAAAGAGAACAATTTGGTCGAGAAACAAAGAAAATACTGAGTCAGTGGAACCGTCTCAGTATAAAGGATGGTGTTCTCATGCGGAGAATTCATGACCAAATTGATGGCACAATACACCAGGTGGTGGTGCCGGGACAGTTAAGAGAAGAAGTGCTAAGGTTGGCACATGACAGGGCAGGACACCAGGGTCAGGACAGGACGCACAAAATTTTACGACGGAGGTGTTACTGGCCCAATATGGAAATGGAGGTCAAACGCCATTGTGAGGCTTGTGTGAGGTGTCAGCATGCGAAAATGCCAGTTGTCAAAATGAGACAGCCATCAGGACACCTACTAGCGACAAAACCACTAGAGATTGTGGCTATGGACTTTACGTCGTTGGAGCAATCATCGGATGGGACGGAACATGTGTTGGTAATGACTGATGTATTCACCAAATGGACGGTGGCGGTGCCCACGCGAGATCAGACCGCCAAAACAGTGGCAAAGGTCTTATTACAACATTGGTTCATCAAATATGGCATACCAAGACAATTACACTCTGACCAAGGAAGGGCTTTCGAGTCAGAAGTAATTAACCAACTGTGCAGCCACTACGGGATCAACAAATCTAGAACAACCACATTTAATCCGAAAGGAAACGGACAGTGCGAACGGTTCAACCGCAGCATGCATGATTTGCTGCGTACGCTAGAACCTGAACAGAAAAAACGTTGGCCTGATTTTCTCCCAGAGTTGGTATATCTATACAACTGCACACCACATGCCACAACCGGCTTTTCGCCATACATGTTGCTGTTCGGACGGGAGGCTCGACTCCCTCTTGATTTGTTCCTAGGAAAAAGGGAGAGTATGACTGGCTCATACACCGCACTGGAATATGTGAATGAACATATGAGAAGAATTAGAGAAATGTACAGGGTAGTACAGGAAAGACTAGAACATGAATCTCGGCGAAGGGAACCGCCGATACAGACGAAGGACCCGCCACTCAAACTGAATGACAGGGTATTACTGCGTAGCCACCCGTTAGGCAGAAACAAAATCCACGATCTCTGGGGACAGGAGATATGGCAAGTCGTGGAGATGCCTAAAGTAGCAGGTGGCCCCTTTAAGATAAGACCCATCGATCACGCCAAACCGGATCGGTGGGCGAATATGGCTCAATTAAAGAAATATTGGAATAGGCAAGAAGAGCAGTTACACACAGAGAAACCCAAGACAATTAGGGAACCGGAAGTTATAACGGAAATTCACATACCCATTCCGGAACCATATCACCATCAACAGAACAACAGCGATACGCAAGGGGAGGATACCGGCAACAATGAGGATCCCGGTCCCTCCAGAAGCAGAGAGACAGTAGACCATCAGATAAGTGGTCCGCGGAGAAGTTTAAGGAACAGAAGGAATACGAAATTTTTTGTCAGCAACCATCAATTCTTTCATGGTCGCGCTGGTATGAAAACAGACTGTTCAAAGAGCTATAGAAGTGAACTGGTGAAGGCACCAAATGGAAAGGGTGGATGTGAATTCTAGAACTGTTTTGTGTCTCAGAAAGATGGTGTAGACACAGTTGATATGTGAAATAGGTAGAACTGTCAATCGTATACGAATGGAACGTCGTGGACAGTGAGTGGAACAATAGATTTTTTTTTTACGACTGTGCGATTGACTTTGGAGGAGTGCACCTGCCAGGCGTTGTTTGTGGTTGAAAACACACAAAAAAAGCAGGGGTGGATGTAACTGGGGTAGGCCTAACTACCAGTTACAAATGATAACGAACGAGAAGCCGAGACACAGTGTTGGTCTGATGCAACCGATAACAGGTGGCTTATTGGGTCGGGCTGATAACAACCTCAAAGCCGGCGCGTGCTATTTTGGGAAACGGTATTCAGACGGCCTGTCAACTTTGATGGATAGGACGCAGATGTTATTTTACGGTCTGTACGTTTGAACTACGCAACTGGTGGTCGGAGATCGAGTACAAGTATCGATTACGGAGGAATACAAGTACAGAGACGAGTACGGATACAAGGCATAAATAGGAGGGCACGGCAGGACTCGCTCTCTCTTCTCTTCCCGTTTCGAGGCTCTTGCCTCTTGCATCGCTCGCTTAGATCAGTCAGTCTGTGTGACTATGTCAAGTCGGTTATAGAACGGGTTAGCCGTATTGTGTTAAGAAGGATTATAGACATGTGGATTCAGTTATATAAAGCCTAGTGAAGGACTGTTAGGGGTCAGTTGATTCAGACTATTATTGAGAAGCATTCCTGTTGATTTATTGTGTTATTATGAAGCATTTCTTGATTCATGTAATAAAGGATCAATAGCGAACCTGCATCTTGAGTATCTATACTGTGGTCAATGTTGTCTAGAATGAGTGGTTAAACTCGTTAACACGTGGCACTACAGGCAATTAGGTCTCATTACATGTGGCGTTGCGAGCATGGTAACTGTTGGCTCGTTACAATTGGCGTTGTCGGCAGGATAAATGTTCGCTCGTCACATATATATATATATATATATATATATATATATATATATATATATATATATATGGAGAGAGAGAGAGAGAGTATGTTAATAATCAAGGTAGAAAACAGTTAAATCAGTATGTAAAGGCGTGCAGCCATTACATTTCTTAACATATACTGTTTAGAATTAAAAACTGCAGCATAAAGTCAGCTTTAAATATTTTTTTCCATCCCTTTTGGCGCCCCCCCCCCCCTAATGTGAATTTATAACGTACTAATAATATTCCGCTCTATTTTGCACATATTATTATTGGAGTTCACCCGAGTTGCCATTCCCAGTTGTTTCATATAAGAATATTCGAGAAAGTTTAGGGGAGATCACTCCCGGTTTATTTATAATGCAAAAGTGTGACGTCGCACCATTAGACCCCCCCCCTCGCCCTCATCACACACCGTCACAAAATTACGGAACCCCCCCCCCCTACCCCTTACGAGTGTGACGTCATTTATGGACGACCCCTAAGTTAGAAAAACGATTCAATGTCTGTACACTAAACTATTCACAAATAACTAAAATAGTAAATGCTTTTAACAAACATAATTTTGAAGACAATATGACTTAGATATTTTCACATGTTTACATTAATTTATGTTTATATTTTTAATGAGAAAATGAGAAAAAATAAGTTATTGGCTTTTTAAGCTACAAAAAAACAACTAAATTCGTCAAATCTTTAGTAAAAACATACGGAAACACAGTCAAGCTTAAAAAATCACTTCTGATTTGATCACACCACAAATGATTTTTTTTTAATAATTAGAAAGCCTGACAAGACTATTCCAGATGGGGGCCATTCAATTACCTGAATGATGAGATGGTCCAGATAAATTACTTCCCATTTTGATTACCGTTTCTGAGCTTCTAAATGAGTGTGAGATTAAAACGCTGTGTTCATTGTTACGTGTGTGTAGTCTATGGTTATGTGTTACTGTGTTACTGTAACTGTGTGTTGCTGTTAGCCCGGCCCTCTTGTTGTTACAGTTGAGATGCGATACAGCGACGAAATTGTGTCACGACACGTAATTATTTCGAGATGAAATGATATGGGGTGACCTCCCTTATCACTAGTACTGTGTTTATACGAGAGAAAAGAATTGATATCTCGTGCAGATAAAGAGACTTTCGCTGTTTGTTTCAAAAGTGGAGCTAGTTCGAACCCATCTTGGCGAAAGGTTAACTCGGTAAAACATATATTTTTTCAAAACTTTACTGTAAAAAAATTCAAATCAGCTGTCGTTCTTTTTATCTATAAACATTAAAGTAATGATTTTTTTAAATAAATAAATTGCTAATTTAAAATTATGTGAGTTTTCATATAAAACTATTACGTCAAATTTCTATATCAACAAGGACGATTACTAATTATGGAATGCAAGCAATTTCCGCATTGACCTTAATTTTTTTTTTTTAAATAAATCAAATTCCTTTTTACTCAAGCGTAAAATATATTCAATATTAATAGCAGAGGTTTTTTTTTTTAATTTTTTTAAATTTTTTTTTATTCATTTATTTTTTTGTTTGCTATGGCTATAAGGTACAAGGGAGTCAAATCTCATTGTGATTCCGCTCCAACGCGCCATAAAAAATAAATTAAACAAAGCCAATTAGTTATTTATTGGACCCCTTAGTTGCTCAGTGATAAGCTGTCAGGCAACTAGTATCTGTGGTCCCGACTTAGTATCTGTGGTCCCGACTTAGTATCTGTGGTCCCGACCTAGTATCTGTGGTCCCGACCTAGTATCCCTGGTCCCGACCTAGTATCTGTAGTCCCGACCTAGTATCTGTGGTCCCGACCTAGTATCCCTGGTCCCGACCTAGTATCTGTAGTCCCGACCTAGTATCTGTGGTCCCGACCTAGTATCTGTGGTCCCGACATAGTATCTGTGGTCCTGACCTAGTATCTGCAGTCCCGACCTAGTATTTGTGGTCCGACCCTAGTATCTGTGGTCCGACCTAGTATCTGTGGTCCGACCTAGTATCTGTGGTCCGACCTAGTATCTGTGGCCCCGACCTAGTATCTGTGGTCCCGACCTAGTATCTGTGGTCCCGACCTAGTATCTGTGGTCCCGACCTAGTATCCCTGGTCCCAACCTAGTATCTGTAGTCCCGACCTAGTATCTGTGGTCCCGACCTAGTATCCCTGGTCCCGACCTAGTATCTGTAGTCCCGACATAGTATCTGTGGTCCCGACCTAGTATCTGTGGTCCCGACCTAGTATCTGTGGTCCCGACCTAGTATCTGTAGTCCCGACCTAGTATTTGTGGTCCGACCTAGTATCTGTGGTCCGACCTAGTATCTGTGGTCCGACCTAGTATCTGTGGTCCCGACCTAGTATCTGTGGTCCCGACCTAGTATCTGTGGTCCCGACCTAGTATCTGTAGTCCCGACCTAGTATCTGTGGTCCCGACCTAGTATCTGTAGTTCCGACCTAGTATCTGTAGTCCCGACCTAGTATCTGTAGTCCCGACCTAGTATCTGTAGTCCCGACCTAGTATCTGTAGTCCCGACCTAGTATCTGTTTCACGTTTTATTTTTATCTCATGATCAGTGTTTCTTTCAGACGTTTTTCTCCGGAAAAGGGGGGAGAGGGCTCTTGAAAAAAAAAATTTGGGGGGGGGGGGGGGGTAGACTTTCTTGGGGGGGGGGGGTGGACACTGTTAAAAGTATATATTTTCTATATAAATTTCTTTCGTTTGGGGGGGGGGCGTTAGAAAGACTTTATTTCCCCCCCCCCCTCCCAGTGTTCCCTCTAAGCTGCGCGGCTGCGCGGCCGCGCAGTACTTTCAAATGTGCCGCGCAGACATTTCCTGATGCCGCGCACAGATTATCAGAACGTCGGGCAAGCCTAATTCACTAGAAAAATTGTGGCTAGTGGTTTGAATTAAGCGACATTTTTAGTACCTGTTTTGTTAAATGAACAGTCTTTGTGTTTTTGGGCATAAATCACAGGTATCATTGACTGGGGGGAGCGGGTGACCTCGGTTGTCATACCACAGGTCCATTTAATGACAACTCTAAACTGAGCGGGGCGAGCTCCGAAGTGATGTCTGGGTTACACTCCCTCTGCTCGATTTAATGGTTTACCCCAAAACTGGCCGTAGCTGACACCTAATACCTGAAAGGGATTACGGCTTGTAGCTGACCATGCAAGGTTTTATTTTCTATTGCCACCGCCCTCCCCCATCTCCCAACCCCACCCACCTCCTTGATACTCTGACGATTTACCCAAGTCAGATGCAAATTCTACGATTCTAATGGATGTATTTTTGCTCTGTTTGGTTTTAAGGATTTATATACTGTATATCCAATTCTTGGGATTATTACGTGCATCTGGATCGAACTATTTCAGTATTCACAGACTGGTTTAATAAATAAGGAATAAAAATTTACTATTCTGTGCTATTTTAACATATTGAAAAGAAAAATGTGTGTAACAATAAATGGTAAAAAATGCAGGAAAAAAAAAGCGAGAGATTCGTTTAAACTGGAATGGCTCAAAGTTAAAGTGAGAACCGAAACGCCATATTCTAAGAATGTTTCAGTTGAATTAGGAAGCATCTGAAGTGTAAGTTCTGTGCTGCTAGTACTTGAAACTAACACTGAGCGAGAAGAACGAGTTGAACAAAATGAGCGCCAGCGGTCAAACAAGGAGCAAGTTCGAATCCTAATGGATAATGTTCTTCTCGCCATTAGGATACACGCCTCGATGCTGTCGGTACAACTGATTCATAACCACATGGTGAAGTATGTTTCTATACCAGGCAGTTGGCGAAGTAAGAATTACGCCTTTGAGTTTGTTGAAGCAATCAACGAGGTGGTTGTAAAGAACACACTGACAGAACTTCGAGTAGCATCGTTCCACAAGCTTATAGTTGATGAAAGTACTGACATAACAGTATATAAAATGTTAATCCTTTATTTTAAATTTCGTTCAGTAAATTCTTTATTCTACAAAACCGTTTTTGGTGGAATAATTCAGCTTACTGCATGTGATGCCTCAGCTCTGGAGGCAGCCATAACACAGTACTACACTGAACATCAACTTGAAATGAAACCGCATAGTAATGATAACATTAGACGGGCATCGGTTATGTTAGGCCGTAGGAAGGGATTGGCTGCTTTATTGAAGGCTAAGGTCCCCCATCTTGTTGAACAGCACTAAGTTCGATCTTCAGTTTAAAAGGGCGCACTTGAAGAATTGGCCAAGGTGCATGATATGGATGTAATTTTTTTTCGACCAATTTATGATGTTCGTTGGTTGTCACGTCACTATCAATGTTGTTGCAGCGAAATAATTTATCATCTATCGAAGCACATCAATTTTGCATTTCTAAAATACGCAAATTAGAAGCACAATACCTGAGTGAAGATGTTTATTGGAATGATAAAGCCAAGAAAATTTTGAATGAAAACGTAGGAATCGACACAAGACAAATCACACAGTTTATACGATCGGTCTGCGATCATTTAAATGTAAGGTTTCCATGAGATGAACTGCAGTTTTCGTCAGCTTTTGATCATACTGGTTTAAAAAATTGTGCATTTGAGTTTGGCGTCAAAGATATCAAAGAACTGTGTGTAAAGTACAAAGACGTGTTACAAACAACAAATAAAGAGTCAATTATCACGTAATAAATGACTTCAAATTTCAGATCAGTGAAAAACTCAAATCAGGTTCAGTAAATTCATTAACTGAAATCGCAGATTTGATGAACAATTCAGCTCATTGGCAAAGTTAATTGACATATGCTGTACTTTTCAAGTATCCAGCGCTGATTGCGAGCGAGGTTTTAGTCTTATGAACAGAATTAAAGTGCAAGCACGAAATAGACTTGAAGCCACACATTTGGAGAATCTAATGCGAATTAAATTATATCTAAATACTGGAGAGGATGTGGATTTAAACAAAGCATATAAGGTGTGGAAGCAAGGCAAGGTTAGACGCGAGAAATTGCAATAAATGTCACTGAAAGGTTAGCTAATTTTCTTTTCAAGTCAGCTCTTTAAAATGGTTTACATGTTAAACTGTTGTATTTGTATTACCGCTATGGTATTAACATTATTAACATATGATTGCATTACACTTACATAGTACGTAGACCATATAACCTGTTGTCTAAGTATAACTCTAAAAGTTTCTGTTGTGTATTTTATTTTATTTAGATGGGATTCGTTTCTTCTTTTAATTGCATACGTTTCATTAGTCATACACATTATATTATTAATTTATCAATATGCATGCCTTCATTACTCTGCTTAATTGCAAGCCTAAACATTAACTTGCCCAAGTCATTTTTAGCACCGCGCACACAACATATTTTTTGCACACACACTCTTGGTCCTTAGAGGGAACATTGCCCCCTCCCCCCACCCCCCTTAGAGTTGTCTGGAAGAAACTGCTCATGATGTGTGCAATGATTAAGGTTTAGACTAATGAACAACATTTTACTTTTTTTTTTCATTTTAGATTTATTTTTAAATTAAAATTGAAATCATTCTATATCCCTCAAATAATTTTATGATCTATGGTCATAGATTCAATGGACAGAAAATGCTAATAAAAATATAAATATTGTTCCGACTGGTAGTTTTAGCAACAGTTGAGCCCAACATAGGCCTAGTTCCTCCTTACTCTAACTATTTTGAATGTCGGACCTGCTTTTTTCTTTTGGTTTTGTAGTTTTGTTGTTACTTCAACTTTGGTTTGTCAAATTAAATAAAATGGTTAGTAAAATACACACATTTTTAAAAATCCTCGCAAAAATATTTTTGGAATATAAAATTATCACCTTTTTAGATTATATGAGAACTATTCCCGTACAGAAAATTCCACTGTTTGTGTAACCCTTTTATGCATCACTTGTAGATATTTGAATGTGCGGATTATTTCATATAAAAAAAACTCGCTGATCTCATTGATTGTTAAAACATTATGTTGATAACATTTAGCCTTTCAATTTC